AAAAACACAAAAACACCGAAACCCTGTAAATACCACTAAAAACCCTCCCTGGAAATGAACCCGTCGGGAGCGTTTTCGCTCTCCGCTGTCTGAGGAGGAGTCGCAGGCGTCGGCTCGGGCACGACTGCTGAGAATGCGCGGCACCAGGATCGCTTCTGCAAGTTCAGTGACGTCTAGCTTCATCATGCTCGCCGAAAGGAAGAAGCGCATGGTTCTTCTTCCTTGGCAGGCACGCGCCTGTCTGGGGATGTTCACCAGGTTCGAGAGTTGCTGGACATGGGGAACGCTTCGGTCTTTACACTCTCCGGCCAGATGTGCGCGCTGCGCGCCCTTTTCTTCTCCAGTGAAAGGCGCCAGATAATGTCACCCTCGCGAGATCATCATCTCTTTCTGCACGCAGCAGGAAGTCTTTGCAAAATTTGCGGTCGAGGAGCAGACACGTCTCGCGGCGCTCCCTGCGAGCCGCTGAAGTCGACGTTTGGGTGGGCGAAGGAGGCTCGCGGGCACGACAAGTTGCTTCCACGCTAAGGACTTCCGGGCGTTCGGGGTGCCTCGTTGTGCTCGCGGCCGGCGGAATGCGAGCGCGCGACGACTGGCACTGCTCGTTGCGGCAGGCATCTGAGTCGGGACGGCAAGCCGCCCTTGCCTAAGAAGCGGCCTTCTTCATCAGGTCCAAAGGTACTGATGGTTCAGCACCGGAACGCGCGACCCCAGGAGAGAGGCTACGATTGTTTATCCTTTTCAGACTGGCCGCTTGGGGCAGACGATCGCTGTCACAGTGTGGCGGTAGCTTCAACGGCCCTGAGCGGCAACTTGGACAGGCTCAAGGACATTTTCGAGTCGGACGACTGCTCCATTTTCACTCAGCGCCCCGGCGTGGCAGAGGCTGAACTGCCTGACGCTCTGCAACACTGGACTCCTCGCGAGTACGTGGAGTTGGCGGTTTTGCGTGCCGCAAGAGGGTCAAGCAGACGTCAAAGTTTGCAGGCCGTGTTGTTGTGGATGGAGGAGGCTTTTGATTTTGCTTCCGCTCCTATGGAAGAAGACCTGGATGACTTGCGGACTCTGACGTTGAAAGGCAAACCCTCCACCTGCCGGTCTCGGAAGGGCAGAAAAGGCTGCAGCTCCGCGCTTGCATCTTCGCACTGCTCTTGTTATCCAGCTGTCTGCAAGCGCATCGCCGCTGTTGGCAATCTGGGCTTCACGCTGTGAGGGAAGCATGAGGCCGGGGGATGATCTTGCGTCTGTTCTGTCCGATTCGCACTGCACGCTGCGCGTGTGGAGTTGCTTGAGCAGAGGCAGCCGCCGGGCCTTGTTTCTGCGTCAGTGGGGGCTTCTCATCGCATTGGAGTCTGGAGTTGGCGCGTGTGGCCATTTTCCAGGGAGTTGGTTCATTCGTGGAGAGCTTGGCGGTGGGAACATGAACAATCCGGGATGGAGAGCGGTGCTGGGAGGGGGTTGCACAGCGCAGCCCAGGGTCTTTCTGGACTTTGGATCGCATCGAGTGGCTCTGGTGGCGCAACACAGGTTTTGCGCAGCGCTAGAACTGAGCTGGTCCAAAAACCGGTCAAGCATGCAGAGACTGGCTTTCACACGCACATCGACTCCGACAAGCTGTGCTCAGGTCACACGACTACATGGCCCTCAATGAGTCCGACGCTCTGAAACTGTACCTAGGAAGTATTGCGCCTGCGCTTCGAGTGGACGAGATCGACGACTCCGATCTGGAACTCGTGATCACTATGAACAAAGACGACCAGCTGCAGCGCGTGCTCGGATTGTTGGCACGCCTTGTTTGCGGACCATGGGCTGACGAATCTGCGTTATACAGCGGCTACGATGAACCGCGGGGCTGGGAGAATGACTGGGGGCATTACCTCGAAAAGTTCCTGACGACCTGGAGCACGCTCGTGCATGATTTCGGTGTCTGGCACGCAGCAAGGGTCTCTTCTGCTGGCCGAGTCGCGGCTTTGGGAAACTGCCTTGGTGGAGTGAACTGCTCCTCTGCGGCGGCTCTTTGTTTGATGATGGCGCTCGAGGGCTTCACTTTGGCGGAGGCGTTGCAGGCGTCAGTGTTTACTCACAAGCTGCGTCTCTGTCCGCGGCAGACTTTCTGCTGGCTCTTTTGCTGCTTGAACATGTACACGAAGGAGCTGCCTCTTGGCGGTGTAATGGGCTTGGAGGACGAACTCCGAAGCGCCGGACAGTCGACCTTTCAGTGCTCGCGGTAATAAATGCCGCTGGAGCCTTCCAAGGTTTTGTTCACGTGCCTCTTGCTGTTGCGCTGATGTTTGCTGAAATGTTGACCGCAGGAGTCTGACCATTGCCGGAGGGGAAGTCTCTGCGACTGCCCACTGCTGCGCATTCGTGACTTGTTCTGGCGGTATGTGTGTAGGGCGAGATGACCAAGTCTTCACCTCATCATCATCAAAGAGGATGATCCCTGCAAACTCCAAAGGAGAAGGGCATGTGCATCAGAGAAGGCAGCACGCTTGTACTGCAAGATCCTAACTGCCAGGGCACGACAAGCACGAAGCTCTGCACAGCAGTCTGCTTTGAGGGCAGCGGCCGCTGCAGCACAGCGGCCGGCAGCTACATCTGCATGATGGTTCAACGTACGCCATTCTTCAGGAATGCGAAGATGCAACGCTTTACCATGAGAAGGAACTCAAGAGGGAAGAAAGGAACCAACAAAAACAAGAGAAAACCACGCATCCCACAGCGCCAGCTTGCCAGCATTTCCGGGAACTGTTCCAGCCTAAGTGCGACGGACGATCTCCTCGTGATCTGTGAGAAGCCGTACGGGGCTCAGAGAAACCTCACGCGCAGCCTTAGCTGCCTTAGCTGCCACCACGCCAGCAGTGAGCTCTGCAGCGTTGACACTATTCTCAATTTCCAGGGCGTGGACCACACCTGCACGCCCGAGGAACTGCGCCACGCAACTGCTTAAGCGGCCTGGCGACAATCCGCATCCTGAGGATTGCAAGCACTGCTGTCAGTGGCCACTAGGAACTCTCCCTCCCACAACAAAGGAAGATGCTGTTGGAAAAGAGCCTTTAACTTTAACTCATCGAACCATGACTGCACGACATCCATGGTCCATGAAAAATCCTGCGAAAAAGGCGTGAGCTCACTCCAGGCGTTCTGCAACCAGGCATCGCGACCCGCGTGAAGCTGACACGAGACCCAAACCAAAACGTTTACGCAAATCAGCAGTACGAACACACTCCCACATCATGTGAAAGGAAGCGCCAACAGGACGGCCAGGACACTCTGGACAGCGCTTACTCACATCCGTCACGTGAGCCAAGCGCTGCAGACTGGGCTCTTCTGCAGCGGCGCATCGCCAGCTCATGAGGGTCGTTAGGAAGGGCCAGAAACTTACGCAGAGGGGCCACATCCAGGTTCGGGATATCAACTGGCACACGCCACACGGAAGGGCCGTAACTCCGTATCACATAAGCACGCCAGCCGTGCCTCACAGCATGACCTAAAACAACCCTAATCAAACCTGACACGCGTAAACCAGAAGGAAAATGGACCTTGAAGGGACAATCAGTTGACTGCCAACCCAAGTCGACATAGGCATCGCGACGCGAGCCGCCAAGAATCGACATCTGAGGGCCAGGCCGCGGCGAAAGCAGACTGCCATTTTGAGAAGCGGAGCTTACGAACCAACTGCACCAACGATCACCACCCTTTGGGTTTCATCAGCCACGAAGCTCTGCGACGACGGCAGGCGGCGCGACGCCGCCGTCCTTGCAAAGAGAGCTCCAAAGACGTTGTCAACTTACGAAGACCCGGAGCCTCAACCAGTAACCAAGCAGCATCCCACCTAAACAAACCCATGGTAGCACTTACAACAGCAAAGTTTGGCCCCGGCTAAGACGCAAACCACCGAGAAATGCTGCGAAATATCTGCGCACACGTTCCTGAAGATCTTCCCAGCAAGCCAGGGCCTTAGGAGACACCTCCCGATGAGAAGACTGCAAATGCACGCGAACGCTAAATCAAGGAAACGCAGGTTTACTTGAGGAGACATGTGGCACTCATCCGGGGACAAACCCACACCAGCGTACTCCTCCCTGCAAGGGGCCTCCTGTTGACCACGAAGGTGGTCCAATTTATGAAGGACCTCCATCACACATTGCATGACATCAGGGCTCGTCGTTGCAAGGCTGTATCATCAACGCATGTGAAGAGTTCCGCACAAGGAACTTCGGCCCACCCTAGTATGGGCCCCTGCCATGAGTGCAGCGGCCATAAGAGAGATGGGATCCCTTGCGCCACACCCCGCTCGGGGTTTGCAAGGCGCCCACTGCCGAACCAGCACGAATGATGGCCGGACGGGAACGGTTCATGTCGAAGAGGGTAGCGGCATGCTGAGCGCGCACGCCAAACGAGATCGCCAACTGCTTGTCGGATTTTCTAAAACACCGGCGGCCATTGGCAACCCTCATTTCCGAGATCAAGGTATCAACGGAAAGGACGACACTGGCCACGTCCGTCTCTTGCACCTGCTGCAGCCACGACCTATATCGGGACAAAAGCATCTTTTCTAAAGCCCGGGTAACGGTGCACTCATGTGACCGAAATGGGCCGCAAGTCGTCAGGGCCAGGCCTCTTGGGATCATAATGACTTCTTGGAGCCTAAGCGCCTCCGGCCACTCACCCGTGTCACAGATGAACTGGCACAACAGTAACAGAAGCTTGAGGGCATCAGGGGGCGCCGCAAAAGCGGTTCGGCGGCCCATTGACAGGGCCCGGGCGCCGCGCCACTACAACTGCGCAAGGCCGACACAAGCTCACGCAAGGTGAACTTGTTGTCCACGCTTTCATCCACGGAATAGGGCTGCTGAATGCGCTGCACGACCCTACGGAGATACGCACGGCGCAACTCGTCTTCCGAGCCGAGACCGCTGCCCTTGGCGTACGCCTGAACGGCACAAGGGTCAGCAGTGAGCTCACCGTTGCTATCACGAACAGCCAAGACCAGGCCGCGGCTTGCCGCTGCGAGCTTCGAAAAGTTTAGCTAGACCGGGGGCTTTGCCCTGAGCTTTCCAGCGCGCAAGACGGTCCTCGACGCCACGCTCACTATGCTCAGCGATGGTGGACGTCAACAAATTGTTGAAGGCAGGCAGATCACCGGTATCAGCATTGACATCCAAAACTCCCTGAGCTTGTAGAGCATGGATGTTGCGTGGGAAAACTTGAAACAAGTGAGCGTCAATTCTACCCAACTCGGCTTGACGAAGCAACTCACGGCAACGCCGCCAGGCCCGATGAAGGTGACGCTGCAGCACAGGCATGCGTCTAGCAGAGGGCCCTTTCCGTGCGTTAGCCTTACTAACTAGCCCACCACCAACCCCAGGTTCTCCCCCAAGGTTTCCCGGTGGAAACTTGTTTCGCTAGCATATGCTAGCTAGAAAAGAAACTTCAAGCAAAGTTCACTTGCGTTAGCACTTTAGCTTGCTACCAAACACTTGTCGTGTTTTCCGAACAACGGCAAAGCCTTAGCTAAAGACGCTCCGTTCTTTTTAGCTTGGTGGCGAAAGTCCGCTCACTGTAACTACGGAGTGAAGCCTCTAGCGACCCGCTAGCCATCAACTCCTTGTAGCCCCAATGAAGTCTCTAGCTTTCAGCTAGCCATCTCTCGACTCTACACAGGGCGGGCAGGGTGGGAACTCAAAATTTCCCCC